GAAGATTTTTTTTATTCAGACGACCAATTTGTGAATCTAAATCGAACTCTTGCTCTTTGTATTTTTCATGCAGCATTTTATCTTCTCTGGGTACGATGTTTTCTTTGTAAATTTATCATGTATTTCTCAATGAATAAAATAGCTGGAAACTTGCAAGATCTATGAATCAGATATATGTATTTTTGTTTTGGTTGTTGTAACCAAATTGGTGTAAGCATCAAAATGCATACGATTGTTTTTATTTTCGCCAATTTTCGGAAAATTTGGTGAGAATGCAAATTACATTGGCGGGTTGTATGGTGGGTGTATGGCATACATGTTTCGATTTTTATCTATTATATGATATCGACAATGTACAATTGATAGCGGAAAAATTGCACATCGAAATAATCAGCGGAAGATTAAAATACAGTAAAAACTCACGGATCGCACACACACCATATCCATCATAGTAATGAAATACGTAGTTTTGCGGTTCGACGCGCCACCTGTAATATGTCAAATGAACGTACCGAACTATTTCAGTACGCATCTATGTTTATAACAAACAACGACAATAATTTATTACTGGATTTTTATTAATTTTTGTTGCTAAAATAATTTTAAACAACTTTAAATGCATAATAATAATAATATAATTTTCTTTAGTTTAATAAAAGTTACCGAATGTTGATTTTTGCAATTCTTCTCTTGAATGTGATTGAAATGTATAGTCCGACTCCAGCAGCTGAATCAAGATTTTTTTTGTTTCAGTGTAGATATTTCAAGAATTTATTCATTTAACACGGATAAAAGTACCGCTTAAAAAAAATGAAACATAAAACCAATTTATAAAATAAAAAATGCCTATTCTGAATTTGTTATGTGCACATCGAGCTGCTGAAGTTGCTAGCATAAGAACAAAAATGTCAATTCAAATGGACAGTTTGTAGCGAATGGAAAAATGTTATTTTTTTAGAACATGACCAATTTTGAACCAAATCGTGAATTAATTATTTTTATCCATCCGAAAAAAATAATTAAAAAGAAGATTTTTTGAGTTTTTCAGAAATAAAAATCATTATTGAATGATGCTTTTTGAAAAAACAGCTGCTGGACTCCAGCAGCTGGATGACACTACTGGTACGCGTAGTAGCTGTCAAACATGACGTTTCACTGCTATGCTTTTTCATGATAATTGTTGTACATAATTGTACATAACTTGTACCTTTTAGTGGTATAAACGATTTTTTTGAATTTTGATATCGGCCGGTTCACTTATTTTTTTATTTAAATTACATATAAAATATTTCGACAATTTCAAACAATGTAAATATATTACATGATGAGATTTTTTTCTTTCTGTTTGATGACTGAATAAACCAATAGATAGTGTTATAGAAAATAGATTTTTTCGAAGAGGAGTAACCATTTAGTTTAGAATTAATACCTCCAAAGCACAATGAATGATTTCTTCATTTAAATGTCGCCGCCTTTTGATTTAAAAGGAATAAAATATTTCACATTTTAATAATTAATAATTCTTCAAAGCTCTATAATTATAAGGTAAATTTTCTGTCTTACCCTAACTAAACAATATAATCAACGTTGTTAAACGTTGTCGTGTCTTCCGATTTTTTGTAAATTTCGTTACATTAGTGATCAAATAAAAGCGCAACCAACATAACAATTCTCACAGAGTGTCCAGTTGAATAGTTCATGATAATGTTGTGAATTTGGAGGATTTATTTTTCTTAATCGTTGCCAATGAAAATCTGTGTAGCAAAATGGAAGTTATAAAATTAAATAAAAAACTTTTGAAAGTGTTTGGAATGTGTTTAAACGATGAAAATGCCACACAACGAGAGCGAACTATCAGCAAAATAATCAACTGGATGATGCTATCGATTTCACTATGTACAATTGGTGTCAGCATAGAATATATCGTTTCGCATTTTTCGGATACTGAAAGTGTTCTATTCGCTGTAATGCAAGTGTCTGCCAACACGGCATCGGGCGGAGGCTATTGGACATTTTACAATAATAAATACAAAGTATCGAAATTCCTGAATCAAATTGAAAATTTGGTTAAATTACGCACGTATTATTTCTTTAGTTTGAAATAGAATAAATGATTAATGAAGCACTCTTTGTAGGTATTTGTCAAAATCACGAATCAAGAGTTTTATACGAAAAGGCGGAAGTGAAATCCACTTTTGTTGCAAAGTGGCCTCTTATTGTTTTCATTGTGAACTACGATTTTGTGTTGATTTTTGCCACAACATATACGGTGATATTCGAAATGATTCCCGGCCGAAGTGATCCAGCCACATGGTACTCAATGTATAAATTGAGCTATCCATTTGATGTTCACACTTTGCATGGATATTTTGGTTACTTAATTATGGTGATCATAGCATTACACACTTATGCGATTTTGATAACAAGTCAAGTGGCTTTTTTCCTCGGTTCATCATTTTATCTGGATGCTTTTACTGAAAATTTCGACAAATTAATGCGCCAATTAAATCAAATCGAACAAAAACCAAAACAATCAATAAACACTGTAAAAGAGCGCCTATTTGATGGAGTTAAATTCAACATTCAAATTATTGAGTTTGTATTTTCGTTGAATATTTGGCACACACCATAAAATGTAGATTTTTTTTGCAGACTTTTTCATCAACTGAGTAGTATTGTGACGGGAATTATATTTTTCCAACTTTTATGTGGCGCCGTATTTTGTTCAACATCGATATATCAACTGGATTTGGTAAAGAATTTGATCATTTTGAACTAAATTAGAAATAGAATATTATCGCATATACGCTACGTTTTAACAGGCTTCTAAACATATCAATCCGGATTTTTTCATTTTGATATTTGCATCGACTGTGAGCATTGCAACAACATTGCCTTACTGCTACTATTCGGCGCACATTTCATTGCGGTTACAGTCGATTGGCGATAGTGCTTATCATACTTTCATTTGGTATGAATTTCCATGTCACATACAAAGATACCTCCTATTAATCATACAGAACTCAGAGCGTCCAAAGTTTTTTTTCTGGATATGGATTTATTAACTGCTCGTTAGAAACATTTAAGAAGGTAAACATAAAGTTTTATTGAGTCATCTTATTCGATTAATCTTATTTAAATAGAATTATTTTCACATGTTTAACAGATCTTGAATACAACCGGTTCATATTATATTATGTTCAAAACTGTTATGAAACGTTGAAACTCATACCAACTACACACAATCTATAATTGAAAAGTGTTTTCAAAGCAAATACTTTAACGTAAGCTCAAGCAGACAACTTTAACCCTTAACCAGGCAAGTCAAAACACTAACGTTATCTAACAAGTGGGGCCTCTGAGGCCCGACGTACATTTTCCATGCAAATTCAATGAACAAAAATTGTTTTAACATAATAGATATTGAATTAAATATGTTTTTTGTAAAATATAACTTTTAAAATATAAAAAATGAAAAAAAATAATCAATATTTATTCCGAATCGGATGAATTTAAGTTTCAGTTCAGTAGTTGTTTAGTACAAATTTTGCACTTCATTTAAAAATTCTGATGACATTTTGTATGGAAAATGTACGTCCGGTAGTTGTTCAAACCTCAATACAGCGCTACTTCCCTAAGTTCCCTAACCAAATTCAAAACAACTTTTATCATCTATTGGTAAAAGGATGGTTCGGAGAAAAATTGTTAGTGGTGCTCACGTTGGAACAAAGAAATTCGTTTGCTTCCATCCTTTGTATGTCTTATTTTCGAGTTTTGCCCAATGGCAATTGTGGTGGCATTGAATAGGAAGTTGGGAGAGCTTTCCAACGAGGTATAACTTTCCACATGTTGTTTCTTATGTTTGAGCACATTGGTACTAGAAATATGGTGAATTTTTCGATTTTTTGAAATTTTTATAAAAATTCGGAGCGGACTCAAGGGAACTTCTTTGAAGCAAATTTCGTCAAAACTTTGCCAGGGATGGAGTTTAGTCCGATTTCATTGACATCGCCCAATTTCTGGGCCGTTGGTATAGTGAATTTGTATGCATGGTTAGCAAATCTAATTAAAACTGATTGCACCAATGTTCTCACATTTTTCGAAGCTATACCTTAGGCACTTACGCAGCGAATACATATTTTTGAGTGTTTAAAGTAAACATAAATTTTGACTTTTGGACGAAAATTTGACTCTTTTTCATGAGTATCACTCCAGGCATGACATTTTTGTCCATCAACCAAATACGCTCAAAATCTAATGATTTCCACAGCAATGAAACGACAACAACAATAACACATATTTTTACTGTCAAAATTTTGATGTCAAATGGTGTCGACATTGGTGACGGTATTTTGAAACAGACTGTGTAATCCATATTCATCGTATATGATCCTATGTAAAGTTCTATACTTGATCTAGTTCACATTGACGGTTCAAATCGTTTATGTCCACTAGCGTGGACATGGACTGTGTGTTTCTTCTGTTACATGTACGTTGTAATGAACAAGTATAGTAACATCGCGTCGTTCAAATAAATTTAAAACACACAACAACCATGCTCAAAACGGCTTGATTCGGGTTCTCTGGGCTCGAAAACGTCCAGAAAAAAGAGATGTCGTAAATTTTGACCTTACACACTAGGTAATCCCTTGAGTTTTACAGTGCAGATTTTTCGTTCAAAGTGAAACATGAGTTATTCAAAAATAAAGACTCGCTGTTCTAACTTTTAGACATGTCAATCATTTTGTGTTTGCATTTTAGAGGCGACGCAATAAATTTTTTTGTACATATTTGAGCGAACGCGTCAGTAAAAATTTATATCAGAACATTTTTAGATTTACAGTATTGCGTCACAGTGGGAACTTCGAAAGAGGTGATTTGTACTTATATTTTATCACGCAAATAATAAAATATTTGTGCATAAATTGAGTTTTTTATTGTTTTGAACATTTGAAATTGCTACTCAAATTGGAGCCGAAGTACCTATTACTTTTCCAAGGAAAGGTAATGTATTAGGCCAAAAAATTAAAGTCACCCCAAAACATGTTTTCTATGCATATTTCATGTAGAAAACATGATTGGAGGCGATTTTGGGGCATTAATGTTACTCGCTGTGTGTGATGTCCGGTGTGTCCTGTATCCTGTCCGCAAATTATTTTAATTTTGCATGATAGTTCATCACACAAAAATTTTTCAAAATCTTATTTTACTGGATGGTTGGGGACTGCGAGGAGTACATCTGGTCACATTTTGAGCGACATTGGTTTACCGTTGTAAAGTGTGGAGCCATAGGGGTATCCATTCATTAAATGGCATTGAAAATACCAATTTTTCCACGATAACACTTTTCCAAGAGACGGTATTCAAAATCTGACTCTACTACATGATTCGGGACCACGTGAAGTACATCTGGTCAAATTTTCAGCGATATTGAATAATAGGTGTAAAATGGAACTCTTCTTCCAAAAACTCGATTCAAATTCTGACTTTGCAGGATGATTAGTGACTGCTAGGAGACGAGCTGATTAGTTTTTGAGCAATATCTGTTGATCGGTGTAATTTTTGGTCCGAACAGAGTACCAGAGCTGGGCACGAACAGTCGGTCGTTCGTTCGTAAGTAGAAATCGTCGGTATGAACTCCAATACATTTTTTGTTATTAGTGCTGCTT